TCACAACTCCGCCGCCATGCCGGCCCGCTTGCGCCTGCGCCTCCTGCGGCGCGCAGGCCTCCGCCCCCCGCGCAGCCACGCGAGCACGCCCTCCTGGCCCGCCCGCGCGGCGGCGCCCTCGACGCCATCGAGCGCGACGCCCCGCGCCTGCAGCCAGCGCAGGACCTCCACGCGCCCGCCCATCGCCGCCACGTGCGCCACCGTGTTGCCGAGGCCGTCGCTGGTGGAGGGAAAAAGGACGGCCACACACCACGACCAAGACTGAGCGCGGAAACGTCGGAGTCGCTCTTGGTCGCCGTCCACCTCGGTCACTGCCACCCGTGGATCACATCCTCGCGAACTGGTGACGGCCGGCACGGGTCATGACCAAGGCCGGCGTCGACAAAACCCCGCGACAGCTTGGTCGTGGTCAGCGTGCTCCTTCCCTCGAGCTGGCGCCGAGCTCGGCGCCGCGCCGCGCCAGCAGCTCGAGGGCGCCCGCGTGGCCCCCGAAGGCGGCCGCGTGCTGCGCGCGCCCGCCGTGGCCGTCCGCGGCGCGCAAGTCGGCGCCCTGCGCGCCCAGCACCTCCAGCGCCGCCAGGTGCCCCCCGCGCGCGGCCTTGTGGACCGGCGCGGCCCCGTCCGGGTCGTTGGAGTCCAACGGCGCCCGGCGCGCCGCCAGCCACGCGAGCACCTCGGCGTGGCCGCCCTCCGCGGCGACGTGCGCGGGGAGCAGCTCGCGCGCGCCGCCGGGGCTTTCCGGGCGCGCGCCGCGTCGGGCGAGGAGCTCCAGCACCCGCACGTGCCCGCCAGCGGCCGCCGCCAGCACCGAGCGCGGCCCCCCCTCGCCCCGCACGTCCAGCTTCGGGGCCCGCAGGCCCAGCAGCCACGTCAGCACGTCGGCGTGCCCAGAGCCGCAGGCCACCTCGAAGGGTTGCATGCCGTTGCCCTGGCGCGCGCGCAGGTCTGCCCGCTGCCGCGCCAAGAAGCTCAGCACCTCCACGTGGCCCGCCGCTGCAGCGGCGTGGAGCGGAGGCTGCACCTTTGCCGCGGCATCCCTCGCGGATATGTCCACTCGCCACGACAGCAGCCACGAGAGGGCCGGAAGGTGTCCGCTTTCGGCCGCCACGTGTGCCAGGGTCTTGCCAGCCTCCTCATCCTTCAGGGGTAGGCTCATGTCGGCACGCAAGGACGAGAGCTGCTCCAGCACCTTCACGTGCCCGCTCTTGGTGGCCCACAGGCCGCCTTTGGCCCTGAGCCAGGAGAGCTTGCGAGGGCTTTCGGCCATCCTGGCGATGGCTCCAGAGTCCTCCTCCAGGATGAGCCTGCCAGTCCTGGACGCGTTGCCGATGCCCCCGACCCCGACGGTGAGGTTTCCATGAGCACACCCGCGGTTGTATGTGGCGTGCCACCACATGTACGGGAAATCCGCCACCGTGCCTTCCAGACGCAGTGGAGTGCCCCAAGGCTCCTGCAATAGCCCACCCCACAAGAGGCTCCTCAGGGGGCCCCAACAAGACGCCCCCGAGTGGCCTTAATGCACGCAAGAACCGCCCAAAAGAGGTATTCGAAAGGCCGCCCACGAGATCCCCACAGGCATCCAAGAAGCCCCTGCCCTACAACCCAGGCACGGTGGCGGGAGGGGCCGAAGGCCACTAGATCCGCCGCCCCCTTCTGCTTCAGCAAAGGGGTGCCCGGCGTGCTGGATCCTATCGGTTTTGGTTTTGGTTCTTTTTCCAAAAGAACTCTCCCAGTGGGTTTCGGCCCGTCCCGCCGGGGTCCCGGGATTTTTTCCACGGCCCCAATTTTCGGCCCCAGACGGCTCCAGACGGCTCCAAGATGGCCAAGATGGCCCAAGATGGCCTCCAAGATGGTCCAAGATGGCCTCCAAGTCCTCCCAAGATGGTCCAAGGCGGCCTCCAAGACGGCCCAAGAGAGTCCAAGAGGGCCCCAGACGGGCCTAGAGGCCCCTCAGAGGCCTCCCAGACGGCCCAAGAGGCCTCCAAGAGGTCCTCCAGGAGGGCCCGCAGAGGCCAAAATCATTGATTTTCCATCGGTGTTCGAAGGATTTTGGAATTTGCTTCTTCTCGGCATTCCGACGGCTCCAGACGGCCCAAGAGGCCCCCAAGATCGCCCAAGAGGCCCCCGAGAGGGCCCCAGGACGGCCCAAGTGGCCTCCAAGATGGCCCCAAGAGGGCCCCAAGACGGCCCAAGAGGCCTCCAACACGCCCAAGATGGCCTCCAAGACGCCCAAGATGGCCTCCAAGACAGCCCCGAAGCGCCCCAAGAGGGTCCCCCGTTGGCCCAGAAAGGCCCTCTAGACGTCTCCCGACGGCGTCAGACGTGCCAGGAACCCACCAAGATGGCCGAAGTTGGCTCGAAGGTGGCCCAAAAGGGCCCAAGAGGGCCCCAAGAGGGCATCCAGGAAGGCCAGAAGAGGCCAGAAACATTGCTTTTCTGTAGGTGTTTGACGGATTTTGATATTTCCTTATTTTCGGCCTTCCGACGGCCCGAGACGGCCCAAGAGCCCCCAGAGATCGCCGAAAGATCGCCCAAGAGGCCTCCAAGACGGCCAAGATGACATTCAAGATGCCCACGTGTTCCCCGAAGGCTTTCCAAACCGATTCGGGGAACACATGGTCCGATGGCTTGGTGGCCAAGACGGCCCAGGATGGCCTCCAAGATGGTCCAAGATGGCCTCCAAGTCCGCCCAAGATGGTCCAAGGCGGCCTCCAAGACGGCCCAAGAGAGTCCAAGAGGGCCCCAGACGGGCCAAGAGGCCCCTCAGAGGCCTCCCAGGCGGCCCAAGAGGCCTCCAAGAGGTCCTCCAGGAGGGCCCGCAGAGGCCAAAATCGTTGATTTTCCTTCGGTGTTCGAAGGATTTTGGAATTTGCTTCTTCTCGGTATTCCGACGGCTCCAGGCGGCCCAAGAGGCCCCCAAGATCGCCCAAGAGGCCCCCGAGAGGGCCCCAGGACGGCCCAAGTGGCCTCCCAGATGGCCCCAAGAGGGCCCCAAGACGGCCCAAGAGGCCTCCAACACGCCTAAGATGGCCTCCAAGACGCCCAAGATGGCCTCCAAGACGGCCCCGAAGCGCCCCAAGAGGGTCCCCCGTGCCCAGAAAGGCCCCCAAGACGCCTCCCGACGGCGTCAGACGTGCCAGCAACCCACAGATGGCCGAAGTTGGCTCGAAGCTGGCCCAACAGGGCCCAAGAGGCCCCCAAGAGGGCCTCCAGGAAGGCCAGAAGAGGCCACAAACGGCCCGAGACGGCCCAAGAGCCCCCAAAGATCGCCGAAAGATCGCCCAAGAGGCGTCCAAGACGGTCAAGAGGACATTCAAGATGCCCACGTGTCCCCCGAAGGCTTTCCAAACCGATTCGGGGAACACATGGTCCGATGGCTTGGCAGGTCTGGCCTCAACGTTCGGCCACCTAGGCGCTTCCAAAAAGGCAGGGTGCGGTGGTGATTCGCCGTAGGCGTCTTCGATCCGCCGCCGCCTGTTGCCTTGCCGCAGGAGTGCCTGGCGTGCCGGATGTCTGGTGGCCTGGTTGTTTTCACGGTTCTTTTCAAGGCTCCCCCTGAGAGCTTTGGCCCGGCGCGCCGACCACACGGAGAACTCCTCAAAAAATGTACTGGTCAGTGCCTTCCCCGCTCCAAGATGGCCCAAAACGACCTCCAAGACGGCCACGGTCCCAAGATGGCCTCGAAGATGATTCCAAGACGGCCACGATGGCCCTGAGAGTCCAAGATGGCCCCAAGACGCGTCTATGACGGCCCAAGATGCACCCAAGATGCCCTCAGAATGGCCCAAGACGTCCCGAAGGGCTCCCAAAAGGCCTCCCAGACGGCCCAAGAGGCCTCCAAGAGCTCCTCCAGGAAAGCCCGAAGAGGCCAAAACCATTGATTATCCTAAGGTTTCTGAAATGTTTGGACATTTGTTTTTTTCTGGTCTTCCGACCGCCCAGGACGGCCCAACAGCCTCCCAAGATCGCCCGAAGATCGCCGAAGAGGCCTCCAAGATGGCCCCATAACGCCCCAAGAGGGCCCCCAAGACGGCCCAAGAGGCCTCCAACACGCCCCATATGGCCTCCAAGACGGCCCTGAAACGCCCTGAAGAGGGCCCAAAGACCACCCAAAAAGGCCCCCAAGACGGCTTCCGACCGGTTAGACGTGCCAGGAACGCCCCACGACGGCCAAAGAGCTCCCCAAGATCGCCCCAAGATCGCCGAAGAGGCCTCCAAGATGACCCCATAACGACCCAAGAGGCCCCCAAGACAGCCCCAAGAGGGCCCCACCAACACACCCAATATGGCCTCCAAGACGGCCCTGAAACGCCCTGAGAGAGCCCAAAGAGGCCCCCAAGACGGCTTCCGACCGGTTAGACGTGCCAGGAACGCCCCACGACGGCCGCAGAGCCCCCCAAGAAGTTCCCAAACGCCCCCAAGAAGCCCAAGGAGGCTTCAAGAGGCCTCCAAGAAGCCCTAAGGAAGCTCCTTGGAGCTCCTGGGCCATGGCCACAACGTTCGGCCACATAGGCGCTTCCAAAAAAGGCAAGGGGCGGCGGTGATTCGACGTAGGCGTTTTCGATCCGCCGCACCCTGTGGCTTGCCACAGGCGTGCACGGCGTGCAAAGTCCCACCAGCCCTCTGGGCGTCGGTGGTTTAAGGAGTTTCCTCTTCCACCCCTCTTTCTTCCCCTTCGGGGAGGGGTTTACTCCACCCCCATACCCCCTCCCCACTGACCTGGACAGGGGGTTCCGCGGCGCGTGGGAGCGCCCAAGACGGCCTCGGCGAGGAAGCCAAAATCATTGATTTTACTATGGTTTCGGCCCCATTTTGGCCTTCTGAGGGGGGGGCTGAAATTTAGGACCCCCCCTTCTTTGATCGATTTCCTCCACGATGGCCGCAAGAGGCCCCCAGGATGCCCCAAGAGGCCACAGGATGGCCCCAAGATGGCCCCACGAGGCCCCCCAAGAGGCCCCCAGGAGGCCCCCAAGAGACCCCCAAGAGGCCCCAAGAGACCCCCCAGAGGCACCCAAGGTGCTCCCAGAGGCCCCAAGATGGCCCCAAGAGGCCCCAAGAGGCCCCCAGGAGGCCCCAAAGAGGATTCCGAACGGCCCACAGAGGCCCCCCCGAGGCGCCAAAGACGCCGAAAAGCCCCTCAGGACGACCCTCTACTCGCCTGGGCGTCGTTTCTGGACGGGCTGGTGGGGATACTTTTTTCTTTTGTTTACAGCCGCAGGCGGAAGCGCCAGCGGCGGGAGGTCGCGAACGGGCCGCGGACGCGACTAAATTACCTAACGCGCGCGGGGCCGCGGATCAGGCGGCACACGACAGCGTCCAGGGCGGCGGGGCCGATGCAATCCAGGAGCCAGAGACAGCCCCAGAACGGGCATGCAGCGGTGCGTCCAACGGGCCTAGGGTAGACACCGAGGAGACCAAGCGCAGCCAAAATGGCGCGAGAGGCGTTCCCAACGTCCAGGAGCGAACGAGGAACGTTCCCGAGGACGTCGACCCAAGCCACACGGGTAGCACAGACGAATGGAGACGTGGGGCTGGTGGGGATACGCGAAGCGTCTAGAATTCCTTGTGGGGTCTCGGAAAATTGCGCCAGTCACATGGAAAAAGTGTACTCCCCAGGTCCCCCCCCCAGGCGGCCCCAAGATGGCTTCAAGACGGCCAAGATGGTCTCCCAGACGGCTACGATGGCCCCCAAAGAGCCCAAGAGAACCCCAATATATCTCCAAGACGGGCCGACACGCCCCCGAGATGGCCCAAAATGGCATCAAGATCGCCCAAGATGGCCCAGGGGGCCTCCCAGACGGCCCAAGATGCCTCCAAGAGAACCTCCAGGAAGGTCCGACGAGGCCAGAAACATTCCCCACATCCTAAGTGGGGTTGGCGTTTTCTCGGGTCACCCCCGCGCAGGAAAGGCCACCTCACCCTCTCTTCATCGTCTCCTCGAATGCTCACCACCACCACCACAATCAAAATATTATTAGTCATAAGCAGCAGAATCTTTACCATGATCATCAGCATCACCATCATCATCAGCACCATCAACAACATCAACATCAACATCATCAGCATCACCGTCTTCATCACCAACATCATCATCAGCATCATCATCATAATCATCACCATCGTCATCATCATCAGCAGCCACAGCATCATCAGCAGCATCATCATCAGCATCATCATCATCAGCAGCAACATCATCAGCACCATCAGCATCAACACCAGCATCGTCATCAGCAGCATAAGCATCATCTTCACCATCATCAGAATCATCATGCTCATCATGCGCCGCATCATCATCAGCATCGTCAGCATCATCAGTTTCACCCGCAACAGCAGAATCATCACCATCAGCATCAGCAGCTCCATCATCAGCAGCAAAAGCATCATCATCAGCAGCAT